CCTACCCCTTCGCCGTGCGCACCTTCGTGTTCGCCATGCCGCTCAGCATGGCCTGCCCCATCATGCTGGAGAGCCTCTTCTTCGACCTCCGCGCACGCAACCCCACGCTCTTCGTCTACTTCTACCGCCGCTACTTCTGGCTGCTGGTGGCCGCCTTCTTCAACGTCAGCAAAATCCCCGAGCGGATCCAGCCGGGGCTCTTCGACATCGTGGGGCATAGCCACCAGCTTTTCCACATCTTCACCTTCCTCAGCATCTACGACCAGGTGCACTACGTGGAGGACGGGCTGGCCGAGTTTCTCAAGGCACCCCTGGCCGCCCCCACCTACCTAGGCACCGTGGGCTATATGCTGCTCCTGACCGTCTGCCTTGCTGTTGTCGTCAGGAGGTTCCTCAACGTTGCAGACATCTGCAAGCAGGACTGACCAGCCCGGCGACCCTCGGGACAGCGACCGCCATGCCAGTGACCCTTGGCCTGGAGGTCCTTGGGCCGGTGACCTTCAGACTGGTGACCCTCAGTCCAGAGCCACCATGTCCTGAAGAAGCTGTGGCACCTGGGGAAACACACCTGTGGAAGAGCCAGGTCCCTTTCTTGGAGGTTTGCTGGAGAAAATGACCATGGCAGAACTGCTCGTGCTCTTTAAGCTACTAGGTTACCAGGGGAAGCAAGCAAATGCTTACTGGTATGTTGCTGCTTAGAGTATAAGCTGAAATAATTTAGCTCTGCTACTAGGAAGAATGCATGAATGGTGAATGCCACTTACTAATTTCATAACAATTAGGTCTAAACTAGCTCTGTATATACATATATATTTATATATCTAGCTATATATTTATTAGCTACATATATGTGTATATATATGTATACACCTGAAGACATTTGTGCAATGATTTCTCATAGACTTTTAATCAACTCCTATGTGAAATTTCCTAGCAGATTATGCACTGACATTTATTTTCCTCTCTGATATTGTAACAGGCCTTTGCAGCCACATACTGGATTTTAAATGCAAAGTAATCAATAGCTATCCATAGTTTCTAAGGTCTTGCAGCCTTTTCAGCCAGGGAACAATAGATTTAAGAGCGAGAGGAAAAACAGCTGTGAATTATTACAGAATTACCAATTAATGGAGAGACCTTAATTAGACAGACAGTAAGTGGTTGGTGTAGCCACTCGGATACTAAAATAAAATAGAAGGATATGTAAAATAACCGAACCAGAAAGGGGTCAAACTGGTTTGGAACGGGGGCAGAGGAAGAACAAGGACCCTGCATAATGGAATGGCTCTTCCCTCAGCGTGTCAGGAACATCTGTTGTGCTGAGGGAGTTGCTAAGGGGCCCCTTTATCTTCCTGGGTAAATCACCCCCAAACCAGTCCTCTGGAGTCAAAGTCAGCTGCCAGACTTTCTATAAACCCCTGCCAAGCTCGGTGGGAGTTCTGTGGATGTAAAGAGAGTAACCGATGCATGAGATCTCATTCTGGATCTTTTAAAAAGCTACATGGAACTAGTTTCTGCTGCTCTTTAATTAGAGCACTGTCATATTTACCATCCTAAAATTAGTTGCAGAATACGATACTGCTGAATCCAAGTTCAGCGCCTAAAATCTGGCTCTACAAGTACAGGATACTGGCACTTTTTTGTCTTTCCCCACTTTTTCCTATTCTGATTAGTTGTGGCTACAGCTGGATGTGTTGAAGTCTTCTTTCAGAAGCTTTGGGGGAGTTCAAAAACAAGAATTAGGAGGTGTTTTCCAAAGCAGTATCTTTTCAGAGCAACCCATGTATTATCCTTGTCACAGGACAAAGAGCTAAGTATAGACTGAATTTACTCTAGAAACATTTTTGTGAACCATGTGCAGATTTTAAGCAGATGCATTTTGTTTTCGTCTGACAGAACAAGTGCAATAATGTTACACAAGGGGCTTACCAAGCGAAGTTCAGGTGAGAAACTGCTTGTGTAACCCATTGTCTAAAGAAGGGTGGTACTTCCTTAGCAAACCCTTGTGTCAGACTGCGTAACAGTGTAATAGCTGTTTTACTCAGCTCCTGTTGAAGAAGTGTATCTCTGCTTGGGTCTTTCCCATTTTCATGGACATGGCATCTGAATCCCAAGACAATGTTTTGAGTCCAGTTCTCATTTTCTGTAAGACAAAGTCCCCTTTGTTTAAAATGGGAATATAGGAAGGACTGTAGCCAGGGATTATGAAGTCACATCCTTAACATGGGTCAGAGTCATCACAGACCCAATAACTGATATGCCCTCTACCAATGTAACAGCTTTATGAAAATTTCTCAATTGAAGTGCATAAGCTAAAAGAAAATTACACTCATTCAATTTAGCTTTTATCTCAACCCATTTAAAGTATAATGGTTTGAATATTTTAGATTCTTAGTGAATGATGAAAATGGCCTAACAAATACTCTTTGCCAGCCACAATTCTGCTGGTATGTCATTTCTGGAAGGGTCAGATGTATTTTAAGGAGATTGACTAGAATTATCTGGAGTAGCAGTTCCCAAAGTGTGGCCTCTTGAGTTATTGCTGTTGGGCCATAAAAAACTGCATAGCCTGTATGAGTGGCTGTGTTCAGTTTTCAGTTACCAACCTGCATGAAAAGAAAATGGAAACTACATGAAGTATTTTAAATTTTACCTATTTTCACTAAGTTTTGTCAGAAATGTAGCATTGCTTTCTTCAGCTGCCAACAAAGCAGAAAGTGATCTGCACCACTGGGAGAGGAGGCTGGTTCACAGCACTGTTGCTCCTTGAAACATGCTTTAATATTGTGAAAATCCTGAAAACTCAAAATAGAAAGCAAGTGGATCAAGACCTTCAACCATGTCATGCTATGAATTTCCACAACTGCAAAAAGAGGCCAAAAATCTTTGAGATGGGCTGTATTCAAGTTAAAATAATAGAGGCATAGTAGTTAGAGCCCAGTGACTCATCCAAACTAATTATGTAGAAAGGGTTTGCCTGGGAGATGCCACTAGCACATCCAACCAGCAATTAAAAACTAAGAAATAAATCTGAGGGATAGCAAACCTCAGCATTAGAAGGCAGCTCAGAAACAAACAGTAAAAGCCAAATGTAAAAGACCAGGCTTTCAAAGCATACTGTATAATGAATTATATTTGTGCTTGTCAGTCACAATGTAGAGGACATCTCAAGAGGCAATGTCAAAAATGGCTGTTGCTAACTTGTAAAAATACATTTGATATTTGGAGTTAGGCCACCCAGGGTCATCTATATATATCTCAACGACAGATAACAGTATAAAGTTTGGATTGCAACCCACTGCAATTTTACTGCTGTTACAAGAGTTGCCTGTAAGCCCCAGTCACACTGAAGATTGGTACCTGGCTCTGATATTAAGAATATTGCTTCATTCAGAAGTTTCTGTTGGCAGATTGTTTAGGCACGTGTATGGGCCTGAGCACCTCATGGAATTATTGTAAAAGCTGGTTGCAAGCACTGCTGGCTGAGCCACTGTAAGCAGGCTGCTGAATCCAGAGTGAGTGACTACAGGGAGATGTGATTACAGTTTAAGAGTTCTAATTAATGGATTTTTGTTTGTCTGGTTTTTGTTAAAAAAAAATGTGACTACAAATTAAAAAGGTACAGTAAGTGTGGAGAATATCTAGGGAAATGTTACCTGAGTGTCTCTGTCTATTCAGTGAAGGACATGCATGCAGATAATAGTTCCCTTTGCTGTGTCCAATGGACAAAACTAATCTGAGATAAAAATATTCAAATTGGAACAAGATATCTATAATTATAGTGCTTGAATTTGTTCATCTAGAAGTGAGTCAGCATTTGTGTGATTTGTAAGGGTGCAGGATAACTTTCTGGTGTGAAAGCACATGACTGAAGAACATGTGTAAGCATGTTCAGAGGTCTCACCTGCAGACTAGATGCATAAGGAAATCCTAGAAAACTAACTTGCTTGCAGAAGTACGTGTCATAATGTTTTTATAACCTGCCATAAGGTCTACACTGTGGATTCCACAGCTCATGTTGGAAACCAAAAAGGCTTTTCAGGCCTTTTGGAGTAGAATCTGCACAGGGATGGGAGCACAAGGTGGGGACTGGAGCACAGGGAGGTGGCCTGTAAATGCTTGGGTGTCTTGCTGTGTTTGGCCAGCACTGACTTTCAGACTGACACACCTGTGCTGATGTGAAGTGGCTGTTGCTGGGGCCACTTCCCAGAGTTGGTGGCATAGACACCCTCCCTTGAATTCAGCATGTGCCTAGAACTGCAATCTACACTGGCATATATTCAGTAAGCCTGGCTTCTGGGCACTTCTGAGTAGCCTGTGAGCTTCCAGCTCATCTTCCTGTAAGATCGATGAACCTCATCTGTAATCACTACCCTGTTTTCTGTGGTGATACAGTATTTTTTCTGCAGTGTGTGTATTTGAATGTCACTATCCAGGGTATCTGTGAAGCTCTGAGCAGCCTCATTAGCAAGACTGGAATCTATATTTGGAAACAAAGGGAAAGGTTTCATCTGCATGCTGCACTTGTAGAAATGTAGCAGTTAAAAGTAGAAGTATGTTCATTTTTTTTTGCTAAAATGGTAATTCTGCTTAGTTGTCCAAGTGTTACGCTTATTATTTATTTGCTGAATCCAGCTACTGTGTCAGGTTTTTGTCAACAGTGCACCTGCAGGAAATGACAGTATGAAAGTTTTACTTCATGTTTAAGTAAACTCTGAGGCAGCACATTCATGGAGCATTATTGCACTAAACTCAGTTGATTACCATCCACATGCCTTACAGAAGCAAGTCATACCTGTAGTAATTGCCCAGATTAAACTGTTTTTTCATTGCCTATGAGCTTAAAAATGACCAAGTGGCCAGTAACAAGCTGAGGAGTCAGGCACTCCTGGGTTCTTATCCTTGCTTTGCCACTATCTGTTCTGTAATCTAGGGCAAGTTGTTTAAACTGTGTTCATTTTGAATGAATTTTAATTCATGTGAAACACTGGAATTGTACCAGGGTTGAATTTGACCCTTTGTGTCTCAGTTTCCACATCTGTAAGATGGGGAGAATATACCTTACCTACCTCGCAGGGTTGCTCTGAAGACTAGCAAATGTTTGTAAAGCACTTAAAAATGCAAACACCCTCCCAGGTGCTAAGAAGAAATCTTCCAGCAGAGAGAATGTTATATTTTCCCTCATTTCACAGGGAGAGGAGCATGAACGTTTCCAGATTGTGAACTCTTGGGACAAACCCTTGTGATTGCCATACTCCTAGGATGTTCACATCCTATGTCTTTTGGAGCTGATGGCTCCAGAAATTTCCACTGGCTCAAGTGGGGGACAGTCAACACCCAGGCAGTATTCAACAGGCTGACTAAATGCTCTAGGGTCAGGAGTAAAGAGAAAACATAAATTACTTACATATGCTTTTCTTCAGAAATTCTCACTGGTAACTTGTACTGAGGAGCATTGTAACACCCATGAGGCCTCCTTGTTCATTTAGCCGTGGATTGTATTCCAGTTACTATGAAACAATGCAGCAGGATTTCCCATCAGTGTCTGTAAGATTATGATTATGTCTCAGTTGCCATTGGGAATTTTGAACTATGTCAAACTTCTTACCAGAGTAAAAAGACCTGAAGTAAATGATGCTTTTAAGAAAAAAAAAATAATTTGAGAATATAAAATTATATTGATCAAACAACTTTCTCTTTTTCCCTCCTGTTCTGCAAAACCAACTACATGGAGTTAATCTTATGGTTGAGTGAAATATGAACTGAGATCTTTTGACCACATATATGTACTCTGTCAAGAAGCCCTCAATAATTATTCTACTATTGCACTCTGCCCATCAGCTGGAAGGGCTGATACAAAAAGCACCACTGACAAGAGGACCATGTTTTTTAGAGCTTTTCTAACTGGCAGCAGTAGCTGAGGGGGAAAAAAAAAAGACTACATCAAAGGGTTTGAGTGGCTTGTTAGTCCAGGCCTGTACCTTTAGAAATTCTCCCAATATCCAAGTATGTTCCTAGCTTCTGTTAGACACCTCTGAGTCAGGGCTGTATCACCAACACTCAAGTTACAGCTGAGACGTTACTTTCTCAGATGAGATGTAAGATGGTAGTGTCACATGCACTGAAAGACACTGACCTCCGTTCAAGACACTTAGTGTCTTGGAGCTGGGTGTGGAATTAAGTTAAATAATTTTCACATCTTGCTTAGACAAATGCTGCTTCATTCCACTGAATTCAGTAATAAATTATTGACCAAGACAAAGGAAGCAGGCTTTTGCTTGAAGTTGCCTGGAAGGGAACACCACCAGCAAACTTCTGCTTTCAGGGCAATTGCTTCCTGGGCCGTACTCAGAACATGGAGGATTCTGAAGTAGGGCTTTGCTACTTCATGGGAATGCCTTAGGATTTGTGGTTGTAGCTGGGGGTTATTAGTACAGAGAAACAGTTTATAGCAAGTCAATTCTGTCTGCTAGAGGTTCAAGCACGCTTTAGTAGGAGGTATCATGTTTAAGGGGCTGTGCATGCAATGAACAAAGTGTGAATTTTGTGTGGTTCTGTCGGGAGGGTTTGAAAATTTACTCTTTGTACACTTTTGGATGCTGACTACTGTATATGTAATGACTATGCATTTTTAGCAAAAAAAAAGGGTGTGATCTATAAATAAAGTTGATTCTGACTTCATTTTTGCAGAAATGCATTTATAAAGGCTTTTCTCATTTCTTTGTATAATTTACTGTGACACCTGTAGGATCAGAAATGTGTTGAATGCAGTTCTCTTCAAACACAGGTGATGTTAGCATGAGTACAGGAACCTTCAGTTCTTACATAGGGGCATAGGAGTGTTGGCATTTCTGAAAACACTATACTAGCAAAAGTATCATTGCCATTTTGTTTCTTTTATATTTCAAAGCAATAAAATAGCATTCTTTGCCATTTTAGTTTTCTGCTAACTAATTATAGACATCCCTGTTACATTAAGATCTAATACATTAATATGTATTAGAAGATTAGTGTTCAGCCTACAGTGCTCCCTGAAAAATCATGAAATTGGTAGCAATAGCAGTGTAAAGAATCAGCAAAATATTAACTGCAAAATGAAGAGGTCTCTTTGGCATCAAGTAAAGTTTCCTATTTGGCAGAGTAGGATGGCAAAATACTGTTTTCAGTCCAAGTCAGGCACTAAAAAGCACTCAGTGAACTGCAATTACATAAAGTATCTGCCTTAAGCCTTTTCTGTCAAAATTCAGCAGGACAGGATGTATCCCAACATAATTGCAGGTTCCCCCTGATAGGAACACAATGGAAAACTGTAGGATCTTGTAGTTGTGTGCAGAATTCCTTCCAAAATTCTAAAATTATTGAGATTCTTATTCGCAGACTTTGTACATCCTATTTGAAATGTGGCAATGACTTAAAGGATTTGATAATCCCAGGAAAAACCTCCATTACCCTCTTAGAAGTAGATACTTCAAGAGACTACATCCTGCAAATAAACAAATGCTTCACAAGACTGCATCCTCCTGTTAACACTTAAGGGTTTTCATAATGTTGTCAGTAAACTCTGGATCTGACTGCTGGACACAAACAGTCTGGGGGAAAACCTCACAAAACTGATGAAGCCAGTGAAGATGGCAAAACAGTGAGCAGAATGGTAAGCAACGAAAAGCTGCTAGGACAGGTAATTTATCGAGGTCAGTGCCTCAGCCTTCAGCTGTGGTGGATCCATAGTTACTCTGATAATCTACTGGAAATCTGAAGGCAATCTATATTTTGTTACCATGACATCACTTCTCTGACAAATGACCCTAAAACTCAGGACTGTGTTTGAGGAGGAACAAAGAAACATCTGACACAACAATTACATTCAGATTTTATTCTCTCATCATAGGATCACGTAAGGCTAGCAGGATCTGCAAGTGGAGATGAAACACATTAAAAATTAAAAGCTGGTAAAAACATAGAGTATTAAATCAGTATTAATGCTAAAGCTCAGTCTTGGCTGCAGTGACAAGAGCCTTTGGGGCAGACACTACAGATGCACTTTCTGCATCAGAAACCCTCTACCACTACAAGGCAGATTTCTTATCAGGAGTGGCAGTACACTTCTGTTCTGGGGAGCTGGAAATACTTCTCTTGCCAGGGAGCACAGCCTTTGGGTACATGATGCATGCTGTACAGAAGCAAAATGAGAGACCATGTCACACAGTCTTTTTGGAGAGTAAGTCATTTTATAGAGTTTTCTAATTTGAGTTTCTCCTGCCTCTAAGGTCTTATCCTTTCCTGTCCCTTCTGACTGATGAAACATGAAAATATAGTTTTCTTTAATTTTTGGTGTTAAGTATACTTTTCAATATTATACTCTGTTTGCTAGAATACGTCTGTTCTCTCTCACTCTCCTCTGCTGTCCTGAGAAACTGGGCAATGCCACATGTACAAGAAAAAAATCCTTGGGTTTTTTTCCCCCCTCTTTATATGCTGGTCTCTCCACATCCACAGTCCTGGGGCTATGGAATTCAATCACTGGCACTCACTAGTGTTCCAAAATCTCAGCTTTTCTTTTTAGCAGCACTTGGAAGGACAGCTAGGAAATGTCAGTGAGGTGGATAACAAGCAGCAGTATCTGTAGCCCTCAGAAATAATACAAATAATGAGCAAAAGGTAAACAGGTCCCTGGGGCAGCTTCTCTGATACCTTTGTACTCACAGACATCATCTCTCATTATCCAAAATTTAGTGAAGCTCATAAGCACATGCTTAACTTTAATAGGACTGTATGTTTATCTTTGTTCATTGGTGGGGTGAACTTTTCCTTGTGTTTCAGTGTGCTATAGAAGCAGAGCCCTAATGAGCAGACCGTGCCAGGGAAATGTTGCCAGCAAGAGTCTGGCACAGCAGATCCTGCCATCCAGCCCTAAGGCAGTGCCCTACACTCCCAACTCACTTTCCCTCCTTAGCTGCAGCACTCTCAGGGCATCATCTGAAAAATTTTAATACAAAACAAGGAGCAAAGTATATATATAGCCAGAAATGCACCAACTTAGTCATTAAATAAAGCTGCAGAGTTTGTACCAATTACAACATCAAAACATTGTTTCTTGTAGTGTAGTAGAAAATCATAGCTTGAAGAGAAACAGTTTGGAACAGTAAGTAACCAGAATCACTGAGCACTGAAAAATATATTCAATAGCCAATGTAATTAAAAAGAATATTTATGTCTGTAGAATATGGACTCAAAAAGAGAAGGCAAATATTCTGTGAAGAACACCTTTGTCCCTAGCAATAGAGCAAGTTCCTTCAAGCTATAACTATTCTGCCCTAACAGAAGCATGCCATCTCTTCTATTCTAAAGTTCAGACGTTCTTTGGACAATAAAAAAATAATTTGACTTAATTGTGTTCAGTAAAACACAGAGAACTGATAAAGAATGAGAACATACACAAGAGTGGGAAACCTGCTCAAAATGCAATACTCAAGTTAAATGAATATTATTTCAAGTCCCAGCTAGCTTAGCAGACCTATCACCTCAGAGGGAATATACAGTGTATCTTCAGATCTGCTTCTACTGGCATGACCATTATTCCAAAGAATACAGTGAATTGATATAATGAAAGGCAAATAGTAGATACCTCAATGGCAATTAATCTGTGATGAGTATATTCTTGTATTCAGATATAAGGCTGAATTACATACATGAAAACGTTGGTGGTGCTCTACATATATCACAGAGTTTAAAAGAGTTTAAAAGTTGTATTGATTTTGACTTTGCTGGCAGATTCTTACATGGGTTTGCACAAAGCAAATGAACTGGTGGACTTACAAATATTACCAAATGAAGTAATCACTGCTTTCTCTTCTGAAAGTCACAGTGACTCCGAGCAGAGCTACTGAAGACCCTCAGTGAATCTGATCTGGCCCTCTCCCCTTTGCAGCAGTGGTAGCTTGAAGTGCAAGTCCTCCGTGGAAAGTACTAGATGTTCACCTAGCAGTTTCCAACACACTTCATTGCTGCTTTTAAATAACCCCAAGGAATGTTATTCATTAGCCAAATATGCACGTAGAGCTAATAAATAATTATGATTTTCTGGCTCTGGAACTGTCATGATTTCTAATTTCAGTGTCAGGGCAACACTGCCAGGTATGTCCTAGACATGGGTGACTTCCAACTCATTACTCAACACTCTTTGTTCCAAAAGCCATTTCAGTTCCCCACTAGCTCATGAAGAAACAATCTGCAGCAAACAGGCAGGTAAATGAAGTCTCTAAGGTGACAGCTTCCCATGTGCACTATAATAGGTCAGCAGCAGTGCAGTTTCTTTCTCAAGTGATTCCTGAACTCAATTCACAAACAAGCACCAGACTCAGTTCTCTTCCCTTGGCATTTTGCCCGGAAGGCTCAAGCAGGCTGGAGAATAATTCTGAGTTGTGAAAAGCTCTTTTCCCCTCCTATTCGCCAGTCACATCCGTGTGTGCAGTACTGGCACAGAGGAGGCAGCAGCAATGCAGGGTGGCACAGCACATCTCTGTGCTGCACCAGCCCATCCGTGGCACGGAGCCACAGGATCCCACCCGGGCAGCTCCCACACACGAGTCCGAGCAGCCTGGGAAAAGCTGGCAGTGACAGCCCTGCCTGCCTGCTGGGCCAAGTGAACCTCACAATAAAGAGATCCAGGCCTGCTGCTCAGAAGGAAGTTTTGCAACATTAGTCTATGCCCAGCAGACCCATGGAGGACACTGAGGTCAACCAGCAGGAGTTTCCTAGACAAGATTTGCTGTTACTCAGTTTTAAGAAAACAAACCTTCATTTTCAAAGTCAGCCATCAATGATAAATGATACAGAGAATAGAAATTTTTAGTTTCCCTGAAGTTGCTGGATAGAGCTTAAAGACTAAATGACAAAAAAAAAGATAAATGGATGTAAAAATATGACCACAGGAGGATAAAGGTAGCTGGAACCAGTGGACAAACAGATAAAAAGGACGAGAGTGGTTTTTTGCAAGTCATTTAACAAAGAAGCAACAGCACATGCCCAAAGGAAAAGTTCAAGGAAAAGTCACCTTTAATATCAAAGCATTCAGTGAATGCAACCACTCAAGTCCCCTTTTATGACTCTCCAGGACCAAAAAAGGACTTCCAGTGAGAAGTGGATACATACAAATTAGTTCTAGGAAAGTAATGTTTATGTATTAAATAAAAGCCACATTTTAATGAATATTTATGATTATGATGGATAAATACCTTGTTGTAAAGCCTCACAACACATACAGAATTTAAAAAATATATCCTCTGTGTGTCCTGCACAGGTAAAGAATGCCTGCTTTCTAATGCTTTAAATGTTTTAGAAAGTTTATTCCAGCAAATTTCAGGATCTTCTGCACTCTGAGTTGGATCAAATCCTCAATTTCAGATTGAAATGAAAAAGGCAAACCAAACTATTCACATCTATTGAAAAAGGGGTAATTCAGATTGTTTTAATCTGCCCCAGCACAGGCCCAGGGACGGAGGGAGCGGGGCTGCAGCCGCTGCAGGCGCTGCGGAGCTCCGGGAGCCGGGGCCGCCAGGAGGAGCCGCAGCAGCGCGGCCGGGGCGGGCACGGCCGGGGAGCGGCCCGAGGGCTCCGGCACGGCCCCGCTCTCGCCAGGGGAGCTGCGGCCGCGTTTCTCATCTGCAGCGCCCGGGAGGGAGCGCAGGAACCCCCGCTCGCTCCTGCACAGCCGGTGAGGCGCTGCCCTTTGCGGCACCTCCCCTGCGCAGCGCTACTGTCCCCGGGGCTGGTCTGGGAGGGATCCCATCCACGGAACACTCAGGGAGAAGCTGGCACAGAGACCTGGCCGGCTGGCAAAAATAATGCCTCAGAGGCAGCTGCTTGCTCATACAATCCAACAGGGAAAAAACCAAAACTGTTTTGAAGGGGATGACGCCACTCTCTTAGACATTCCTGGAATTTAAACTGAACATAAGTCAGTCGGAGTGAGAGTATGCAGCTTGCCATGTTGGCTATTTATTTAAACATACTGACTAAAATAAGTTCACTTGATCTGTTTCCTTTGTCACATGTATACCACAGCAAATGCAGATTAACGTACCTATTAGACTTCTATAGTAGTTTAAAACCAGCGTGACAAGCAAGCAAAGAAACAAAACAGACAAGCAGTAAAAAAGATAATCTGAAAGTATCTTCCTATGCAGGACTGCACCTTTCAAAGGTGAGCAGTTGAAAGTCATCAGTTCAGAAATGGCTCCTTCCTGGCCCAGACCCAGTGAGATGGATGAGCCCTGGTAAAGCCCAAGGTAGCCATGAGGCACTCACCTGGCTGGCACAATGCCATGACCACCCTGCCACAGCCAGCACGCTGCCTACCGGATGGGGAGAACTCTTACTCTGCTACCCAGGTATCAGACTCACCCATGTTCATTGAACCTGCCTACCATATTCCCAGCTGATGTCAAACAATGCACATATATTTCATGCTACAGTTTTAAACACCTTAGGCATTACATTGTACTTTCTAAATTCTGCAGTCCCCTTCTTGGCTGTACCACTGCAGTGTTAACTGGAGTATTGCAGCAGTGCCACGATTCAGTCCCTGTGTAGTAGTTTACTGCAGGAGCTGTTGGACTGGCTGTGCTGTTTGTAGGGCAGAGCTGACACAGTCTCAGTGACAGACACAAACACCAGCTCCCCGCCTGCCATGACCTTCAAGCTCTCCTGGGGAACTCCCATTCATTTTGGCCAGTGACACTTCATTCCCAACCTATGCCAAAGATCATACAGCCCCTTCCAGACAGCTGTGCTTTCCTGTCCACTGGTCATCTTTCAAATAGGTCTCTTCTGGGCACAGCCACTATCCAGAGCTGCTATCTGAGGCTGTTAGATGATCTCCACAGCCCTTGTCAAAGTTGGGATATAAGCAAGCTTGATCCACTCATTTCTTATTTAACACCAGCATCCAGCATATGGAAAATGTTTTTACTGTATTAGGACTTGCTGTGCAAGCTGCTCAGGGATCCCTACTTCTTGTGTTGGCACAAGCTGTGAAAGTCAGTAGCCTTATTGGATGGATGCAGAATCTCATCAGTGTTTCCAACTGTCTTTACTACTTTCTTCCTTTTATTTATTTCTTCCCACTTTCTGACCCAACTTCACTATCTATCTCATCTGTTTCCCTTTACAAATTTCAGACCTGAAGCTGAATTTCTTCAGATCTGACTCCTTCTATGCAAGCAGAACACTGACAACTGCCTTGAATGTGGGTGGAAACTCTCTGAGAAGAGCCAAGGTGGAGCTCCCCGTGTCAGTGCCACACAGCTGCCCTGCCTGAGGCTCCTGTAGCTCCTTGAGCTGCTGCCACACAGGCAAGACCTACAAGTGACTTCCCTGCTGCCTGTGCCCTTTCACTAGTCTTCTCTTTCTGTCTTATACTGTTGGTTGTATTAGCACTAAAGAGTAAATAACTCTACATCCCACTTGAAATATGGTTGAAATGTGGCAACATGCAATCATGCTTGTACATTCAATTAAATCCAGTAATAACATATTTTATTCTGACATGCCATTGAAAACCAAATGCATTTATTTCCTCACACAGCCCAGGTATAGGTAAAGCTTTACGGGATGTTTCAGACACATTATATAAACTAAGTCAACACACAACCTATCTAGATACAAAATACCCTTTGAGAGTGAAATTCAGGTCGCTGAGGAATTTGCTCAGGCAATACCAAGATTTACTGATTTTATCATTAGATTTTATTCTTAGGATATCAGTCATCATTTCTTTGTCAACAGATTTTACCTATCTCAACATGACTGATTGACTTGCAAGTCCAATCAATGAGAACTCAGAAGCTTACCAGTTATTTTCTGGTAATAACTGCTGGGATTTGCTCTCAGGAGTATAAGAAATGTTCTGCAGTACAAGCCCCATCTTTTATGCTCAATGTCAAATGTAACAGGCTTCTAATAATAGAATCACCACAACCTGTCCAGCAATTCCAGTCCTGGATTTGCCACAGGACATATCTGCTTAGGTTATAGCTAATGCAGTAAACAGTGACTCTTCCTAGTGACATGGTAAAAATAGAAAGGCTTCACATGACAGGGAGTTTTCTCATCTACAACACTCTTCAGAAGGTTTTAGCAGGGGGAGTTTCAGTGATATGTTTACAATTCCTCTGACACACATTACAAAAGAACTCTGGGGGTTTAATATGGCTCTTTATAGGTAGGAAGTACAACCATCTCCAGGGTATACAGATGCTAAATCTTTCATTTCAGACCTCACTTATAATTATATATTCAAAGATTTTTATTTTATGATGGGAACATAATAGAAGAAATAGAAATGTAATGGGGGAAATAAAACTTTCCACATTATCCCTTAAAGAATTTTCTTGAAAATTTTCACATTCCCTTAATTAGTTCCATGAAGAGACCAAGTTGCAAAAGTATCAGTTGCTTTGGAACTAGCTGTCAACAAAATAAAATAACATAGTTGTAAGCTGTTGCTCAGCTTTGACGACTGGGGGCAGTAATTCTCTGGTCCAGCAGGTGTTATAGTGCAGTGTTTTCACCAATGCTCAGTTAAAAGTTACCTTAAGCCTCCAGAGAATTCATGTGACAGCCACATGCTTAACAGGAAGGACAGAAATGATGCAGAGGTGCCAGGCTTCAGGGGTCTCTGAGCTACAATGCAAAACCTTCACAGACCCATATCCTGCAGCTGCACAGCCACAGCTCCCCCGGGACCCCAGGCTCGTGCTCCCTGCTGTGCCCGCCACCATCCCAGCCTTACACCCGCGGCCGCCACCAGAGCCAGCTGAGGCAGGGAGACAGGTTACACTCGGCGTGCCGCAGCACAGCCCACAGGCAGGAGCAGGGCCGGACAGAGCTATGAAGTCATCACTGAAAACTCCGATCAGACACCCAAGGACAGGCAGCTACAAACTAAACCTGCAGAGAGCTTTACATCTGCACTGCCTGCAGATCCTGGGCCAGGAGAACAGCTTGTTTCCTGTGAGCACGTGGCCAGGGACAGACTGCAGGACACTCCAGACTGAAGGACACCTCAGCCTCAGCTAGGCAGTGGCTCACTGCACTCATTTCCCAAGGCCAGGGACACTCATCCCATTAACCCAAAGTCTGGTTCCTGGGCTGGGCTGGGCTTTGTGGCTGCTGCTGTGGTGAACACAGCAGAGCAGTGAGTGGAACAGAGAAATGCTGCTTCCTCCAAAAATACCCATGGCACTTGCTCACAGGGTTTCTGTACACACTGCAATGGCTGCACTTAGTTTTGTCCACACATGAATGGACACAATGCTGTAGTTTACAAGTGACAGCTCCACATACTAGATTTGGTGCAGCACTTGCTGCTTGGTCATTCTCTTTTCATCTGCCAGAGCCTATGTAATATTCAACTCCTTAACCTTTGAGTATTCATCACCATATCACTTGGTGGATTCTTACCCCTTGCTGACAGCTGCCTGTTCTTTACAGCTTTTACATAAGATGTGTAGATGCAGAAATCTGCTGTGTCCTATCCATCTCTGAGTTTCAAGACAGTCTTCTCTGCCTTTGCAGCAGCTGACATTCAAAATTTTCTTTGAAAAATCTTTCCTCTGAAAATATGTTTTAAAGGTTACAGGTCACTTATCCCTCTGCAGTCCAGAATTTCTTTCCAGATGTGAGAAACTACTGTTCTTTAATTATACATTCCTCTGAAAGGCCTTTAACACTATGAATTCTTTTTTTTATTTTATGAAAGTCATTTTATTGGCAAAACATATGACTAACAAAAGAGATATGACTTTATTCTTACCGTAATATGAATTATTACAACACTGTTTACAGCTGAGCTTCAAAAACAATTTTCAGGCAGCTCTGGTTTTGATGACTAAAGCTTAAACCTCTTAGGGTTTTTTTACTCATTTTTTAAAGCCAGAGGCAGTGGATTTCTAATTCCTGATGCCATTTTTGTCAAGCTGGGTGTCTGTAGGTCAGGCATATGCACTAGAACTATCTACGCTTCTTTGAGTTCTCTAACAGAAACTCATAACACTGTAAGATGTTAGAAAATTGTGAAAAACTGTCTAATTCACAAGCTGAGATAAAATGAGAGCAGTTTTCCTCAGCCTGCACATAGCTTAAAGCTTGCTCCTTGCCTTAGCCTGAACAAGAATTTGTTGCCTGAAACATTGTCTGTCCTCTAGCTGGCTCAATGAAAACTCATTTGTGCTGAAGAGCCGTGCCTCACATGATGCTTTCAGCAGGACTCTGCACAAACATCACTGCTGGGGCTCCATACAGCCCTGGCTATCCAACTGGCAGGCAGGTCTCAAGAGTTCTTTATTCCTGCCAGACACAAACCATCATAGAGCAGCATTCTCCAAGAGACAGATCTGCTTGTGGGACATATAAATACTGGTTTTCCTTCCATTGATGTCAATAGGAACAAGGATGGAGGTATGATGTTATGAGATGCTAAGTTCTTAAAATATGTTCTGAATGATTTCTATTTTTAAGAGCTGTTTTGCTTTGGAGGATGAAAGGCCTGTTCACTCAATATGAGGAACAAGGTCTGTCTCAGAGATGTGGAAGAACATCTATTCATCCAAAAGCTTAGCTATTTCAGGAATAATCTGTAAATTATTTTTAGAGTTTGTTTAAGTGTTGTTAGCTATACCTGGCAGATTTCTGGCAAATGCATTATTGTTCCTTTAGACTTCTCCATTCCTGCAAGGAAACTTTTTGGGAGATGGGACTTGTCATTTCTCCTGTTGACACTGTTCTACTTTGTATAAATAATTACACATTCACTGGGACTGGGACTAACACCTCCACCCTCCCCAGGAGGGTTACTGAACCATCAGACTAGAGCATTGTTTTTCTCTCACCAGCTGGCTCCATGAATATTTAAGTATTTTTTACAAAGTGGGACTGTTCCAGTGAAAGGGGCTGATGGTCAGGTCACTGCTGTGAGGCAGAAACCTGAATTTGCAGAGCAGAGGAGAATTTCTCTCAAACACAGGGAGGAGTAAGATTTTGTAAGGCATGCACTGACTTCTTCAGGAGCACTAATGCAATCCTAACTTTCTCTGTAGGAGTTACACATCAATTTGTGTCACTGTTTTGACAACCACTTCCATTAAAAATCCTTCTTTAGCATGAAATGGAATAGTTTGCACCAAATGAAATTGAATTTGGAAACTTAAGTTCATTTAGAAATATGAAAAATCATATTCAGCTCCTGTGTACTGAGATTTTCTTTCTTGTCCAAGTATTCAGTCAATTATTAGCTCATTCTAAGTTAGAAAGTCTTCTAATAATATCTTGTTTACCAGTATGGGCTCCACAAATTCTATGCCTTTTATCTTAGTCTAATCAAAGGTCAGATAGATAAATTTCTGCTTTAAAAACTGGGAATTTTATTATTTTTTTGTTGTTGTCATAGAGTGAAGGGTTTCTGTGAAAGGCAGGGTAACTTGAGAATCCACAGCCAGGAAAACTTCAATTTCCTTAACTGAAAAACTTTCAGCTTAACAAATAGACTTATTTTTAGGGTAGTTCAAATACCAAACTAAACCAAAACAGATAAACTGGGATTAGGAGTGGAACAGACTGCTAAACTATCCAAAATCAAATAGCAGATTTGGCAGATACAAAGTAGCTGCCAAAAGAATTTGGAAATGGAGTCAAAATTGTCACAATAATCTTTGAAGATGAGGATGCAGCAAAATCATAAGCCCTGTTGTGTTTGGATCACAGCTCTGATCACTTTCTTACAGTGACTTCTTACTCTTGCATTAGACTTTGACTGGAAATGGATGCTGGAGTCTTATTCTACATTACAGAAAATGTAAAACAGGTATAAAATCAGAAAATAACAATTCAGGGCAGATCAGAGATGGTACACTGAATTCAGAAACTACTTAGTTGAATTAGATGTACTGGGCTTACATTAAAAGGAGATAATTGAATAAGGGTACTTAAGAGGAGACTCTGGTGTTAATAATGACAGAAGGTGATTAAGGACTCCACAGAGTCACACTTTTCCCTGGGTAAAACCTGTAACCATGAGATGAGTGATAACCAAGAGACAGGCCAGCAAACATTTAGAATGGTGTCAAGGCAGAGAGAAGTGTCAGCAGGGTTTAAGGTCCTGCTGGGTTTCAAGCTCAGAGCTTTGAAAACTTAGCCAGAAAGCTGAATCCAGAGATGTACTGGATAGACAGAATAACAATCATGGCCTATTGGTTGCACATAGGCTCCATATGAATGAGTTCTTCTTATGCCCTTTCAAGAATCTATATACCTCACATCACATATCTACATCTGCTCCCATTTACAGCAGGAATTCCTTGCTATTTGACACTGCACAGGATAATTATTATCAGTGCACTGCAGTACATCTGGAAAGATGAAGGAATGCTGGCTCAGCATACCTCAGGCAAGCACTGCACCTCTTAAAGAGGGATGGATTACATAAAACAGCACAAGAGCTGCATCAGCCTCTCATGCTGATGAAGCCAGGCATAATTGCTTTGAAGTGGAAAAGTCACAGCAGTACAGGTCTCCAACTGCAGAACAGGTAACAACAGAAATTTAAATAAATACTCACCGATCCTTGCAAATTCTCTGATTCTCTATTCAAATATACTTCCCATCCACCAGAAAATGTTATATGGTATAGGCAGTCTTCATTCCTTTTCTGCTGGGATTAAAATGAAATTTGGCTGTTATCTCAAGAACAAGCACAAAGACGAGGCTTAGATTCTGGAAAGATTTTTCTCACCTCAAAGTACCCTTTCAGTAAGTGAGTAGAAGGATTTAAACAAAAACTCTTTTAGAACAGTTGCCTGTGCTCAAGTGTCCATCTCCAAACTGAAGTCAAGTATAGTTTAGGAACATCGAAATTAAATTACAATGTTACTTACTCAGTCTGGCCTTTATTTTGTTTGGTGGATACGAGAAATTTCCTCAGAGACTGTTAAAGCAAAAACAGTCTGAGGCTCTTGAAAGGATTAAAATAAGCAGCTCCTGGAATAAAGAAAGGATAAACTGCTGCTTGATTCTGGCACTGCGCTTATGATTCCTAATGGACTAAATGACTGCTGTGGACTCAGAACTGAATACAAGTTTCTGGCATTTTTATACCAAGTATATATCTAATTTAGGCATATAATGCTTTTCCAGTGTTTAACTTACTTTTCTGATACATTATGTAACTAAAATTACTACTATCTAGAAGTCTTTGGTCCCAGCTCCTAAAACTTCCATGTATGTTCTTTCCATTTTTTATAACTTTCCCCCTTAATTCTTTAACATTTTAATGACCTGTAATATTTTTTCCATAGCAAGAAGCATTTATCTAGTACTCAGATGTGTTCTGAGTACTCAGCAATACCATGCTGAGACTGATATTGATAGTGACATTTCTTTGCATATTAAAAAACAAGGATTCTGTGAAAATCATTACCCAGCAACATAATAGATCACAGATGTGTTTAAAAAACATAATATTAGGCTAAACTCTGAATTCTGGTCTGGAAGGCATGTGTGCATCTCCCAGGGCAGTAATTCAGCACTTAGAAAAAGTAAACTCACTATTGTAATGCACATGGCAAATAGCTGAGTTCCAGCCACCAGTGAAATAATTTGGCCCCAGTTTTGCATTCCATGACCCCTGTACTCTGATGGGAAGTAGGCCATGGGGACTGTCTGTAATTCCTGCAGCCAGAACTGCCCAGCCCTGGTACAATTTATTGCTGCACAGGAACATCAGTGATGCAACACCCACTTTCTTGCCAGGGACTCTGTGCTGAATAAGGACAACTGAGAGCACAGCATGAACAGCAGGAGGAACCCAGGAAGCCTTTCTGCACCATCAATATGATGCTGCACCTGGCACAGAATGACTGTATCAAGATATTCCCTCACAATTACTTCAGCTCTTTTTGCCTTGGCCTAATCTGCTTGTTAAAGAAAGGGTATTCTCTCTGTTCTGAATTTTCATCTTTAAGGAAGGAAGTCCTTCAGATGTAGGCCCACCCAATTTATTATTCAGATGTAGCTGTTGAGCTGCTCATTGAAGTTAGGGACTCCTTTTCAAGCCAAGAAAACAAATGCAAGAATTATTACAGCTGATGGAAATTTGATTGTATTCTCCCATCTCTTGTTGCACTGGCTGTCATATCATTTGCATATTTTGTAGAGTGCTTTTTTCTCATTGTCCCATTTATGGTAATTTGGAACCAGATAGTGAGTTTTCTTATCAGTAAAAGTAGGAAATCAAGATTTTAGTTGGCTGAATAACACTTTTCTTCCTAAGAGCATTTGCAGTAAATAAATTAGATCCAACTGTTCTCCTTTTTTTGTCCAGCCCTATAAATAATGTAGAGGGAAATTCAGGAAAAGTAATGAGAGCATTGGCAGGAAAGAGTTTCTCAGAGGGCTTAGTTCTGATTTCAAATCTGTGTTGCCAGTAACAGCAAACTAATTACATGCGAAACTGCACCGTGAAACCCAGGTCCCAGGTATCACCTGTGCAATAGAGTATGACACCACAACACATCTGATTCTCTTTGGAAACATCTCTATCCTGCAACTACAGCACACAGAAGACAGGAAAGAACAAACATGGGGAGGGGGAAGTAGAAGCTAGATGCCTTAATACAGACCTACTTATAGATGATGTAAAAGTCTTTCTTTCTTGAACTCCAGAGAATGAAAGCACACACACAAAAATTAGTTTCCTTCTTTGCTTGAGGTTACAATTTTGGTTTTGACAGCATTCTTGCTGAAAGTACACTCTCATCCCAAAAGAGACTTCTCTGGCGCACCCTTGACATCTTTTGCAACTTTTCTTTCCCTACTTCTGCACGAAGAGGGCCTGACAGCCTCTGACTGCACACACTCCTGAGGGCATTCCCATGGGCCTTTACCCTGTGCCTCCAGTGTCACTTGTAGCCAGCTCCAAGGGAAGGGGCTGTGACCATGGCCAGTTTGTTACCATCAGCTGTGTCATGTAACTGCACTCTCTTCATTCAGGTCAGAGCTCAGTTGAACAGTGTCTAGTGGAGGTGGTGCTTTTGGAAGGGAAAGGACGCTATTGTATAGTAGATTGTTCAAAATATCAGCTCTTTTCATGTCTCAATCTATACACCAGACTCTGATCTAAATCTCCAGAAATTTATTCGTATACAGACATAAGTGACTCTTGTCATTAAACAAGAACAATGGCTCCAAGGATGATTTATATACATATATATCCCTCATTAAAGTAATTCTACTTTGTACCAAGAAATAGAAAGGCTAATTTTTCCATTTTGTGACAATTTTCTAGCTGCTGTCCTATTTCCTTCACAAGAACAACAAAATTAATGATCTCAGGTTTATCAGGTTTATCTCTCACATCCACCAAAGCTAAGGGAATTGGTTTTGTAATTATGTTTCATAATATTATCCACTTGAAGATTTGCTGATTTAGATTACATCAAGACTGGCTAGCTGATCTGTCTTAGCTTTTACAGCTATCTAGATAAGAATAGCACCCTATGACCCTTGCTGATGCCCTGCCCTGTGCTGGAGCTCAGAAGCTGACCTGCAGAGACTGAGATGCCTTGCTCCTCTCCTCTCATCTCTGTCTGCTGCTGGAAGATTTGGCCGTGGGACTGCCTAATTCACAGGTACCTGCTGGCACTTCAGGGGCTCTGCCTTTATTTATTTTAGGGCCCTCTACTCCAGACTTTATGCTCCTGTTCCTTTTACATGTTGAGTATTTGTCTTGGACTATTATGTTTAAAATGCACTGTTGGGGACATAGCACTTGCTTAAAAATGGGTTTTTTTTAGAATCCCTTCCTCTGATTGGTACTTTAGCCATTTCTACACCTGCTGTGTGGTCACTGTAAGTGCCTGTTCTTGGACAATAGACCCTAGGATGCTTCACTAGAAGTGTTGAAACAATCTTGTACTATGAAGGAGTATCTGCTCCTGTTTGATATTTATTGGATCTCTTTGGTTAGATGAATGTTTGCAATTTAGCAGTAGTTATCTAATTTACAATTTTTATATTATGATGAAAAACATTTATCAACATTACTTGATAAATGTAATGATAAATTAATGATGTAATTTATCATTACATTTATCAAGTAATGATGAATCAGCACCATTCTCCTTAATATTTTCTTATGCTGGCAAATAAGCAACTGACTTTGAACAATAGAAGGTAAAATATTTAAAAAAAAATTATTGAATATCAGTTTGTATTCCTATAAAGAAAAGAGGCAAGTAGAAACTGATATTAGAATTACCCAAATGGACAAATGGAAACACCAGAAGGTAATTTAGAAAAGCCACAGTGAAAAACTCTACTGCTTTTATGATTAATGCATCATGTCTGCTCTCTGTTAAATGCTAAAATGAAATACGAAGTTTTGAACAGTATTAAATATGACAATACTTGAGGTAAAACTAGCAAAGAGACCAAAAAAAAAAAAAAAGGTAAGAATGTAGGCTTAGTTCCAAAGAATTTCCTAAATTCTTAGGGTGTGGTAAAATTGTCAATACTACAATTGGTATGTCAGAGTCAGAAGAACCAGGGGAAGATTCAGTTAAAGGTGCCATATGGAAAACTCTTTGTCTTACAGATCTAAACAAATTTGGGAATCCTAGGAGCTGGCTGGGCATATCAGTTTAGAGTCATTTTAGGTGCTTGGATTATCAAGAAAATAGGGATAAAATCTCTCTATTGCATGTTTTCCAGTGCTCTTATGAAAAGGGACAACTCGCAATTGCAGGAAATACCAAAGTTCTTTTGGAAGTGAAAATATCAAGATCTTGGCACTTCAGGCTGCACTGAAAGAGTTGGGGTTGTTTAGCCTGGAGAAGATGCAGGAGAAGCCTTACTGCAGCCTTTCAAGCAATGAGGGGGACTTAATAAGAGGGGGGAAACTTTTTAATAGTGCCTGTAACAATAGGACAAGGAGTAATGGTTTTTAACTAAAAGAGTGTAAACTCGTATAAGATATGAGGAAAGAAATTTTTTATTATGAGGGTGCCAACAACAAGAGAAATGGAGGATGCCCCATCCCTGGAAACATTTGAAGTAGGATTGGATGGGGCTCTGATCTAGTTGCTTCTCATTGCAGGGGTGTTGGATTAGATGACCTTTAAAGGTCCCTGCTAACTCAAACCATTCTATGATTCAAATGAAATAAAGAGCATTTATTGTTGTCATCTTATTGCAAAAGGTCCAAACCTTGGTGATTTCTCATGGACAGCTCCTCACAGCACAGCCAACAAACTCCATCTCTCACCCAGCTCACCCACTCTTTGGTAGCACTTGTCTTGTTATTGGACACAGCTATGGCCTATTAAGGGCAGGCCTGTTCCCAATCTTTGGTGATTGGTACAGCTGCAACTCCTCAGGTGTTAGACTGCCTTCTGCACTATTCTCTTACATTCTAACCCTCCATATTTATTGATAGTATTTATGTAAATTTAAATTAATTTCACAGTGTCAGCTGAACAGGACATGTACAGAAACACCAAGCGAGCACTGCAAGGTCTTTTGCCGTAGTACAAAATGCCAAGGTATTTTGTCCAGGTGACTCTCCACTGAGAAAAGAAGATTTGGTGAGAAGCCTGAAAGCTGGAGCATAAGTTTCATGTTCAGTCAGGTCATCAGCCCACTTTGGCTGATGCACAGCAACATTATGATTATCTTTGTCCCAGGGAAGATGTCAGGGAGAATATATATGTGGGATACATGAGGCACAGGAGGTTTGCACCAACATTTATACAGTCTTTCCAAAGAACATCTCAGGGACAGTCTGTCACACAGGGTTACATTTCAGGAAGAGGTTTCCACTTTCCACTTCAGTAGCTGTCTCATTTTCAGGCAGACAAGGTCTCACTTGCCAGACATTCATTAGGAAATTTGTCTCTTGTCAGCTCTGTGTACAAAATATCTTTCTTCAGTGCCTGATAGGGAGAAGACCTCATCCCTGGATCACCAGCATCACTAGCTGAGCCCAGCATTGCTGGCAGCAGCTGGTGGGGGAAGAGGGGTCCCTCAGGCTGGCTCTTCTGCCAGACTGCTGCAGGAGGCAATGACACCCTGTGACACCAGGCATTTTTTATAATTACTATGGCACTAGCTCTGCAGTTCATCCATTAAATGTCTGTCACTAAAGATTTATCGTTCCAAGCCTGAAGATCTGTCACCTCAGGGACACATGACAGAAAATAGTTTTTGTTCTACCTTCAAAAAGAAACTACTATAGAAAACTTTTGCTGCAATGTCAACTGTCCAAAGTTAGACATTTTTGTCCACATTAAGAAAGACCCTTTGCTTATGCAACTCCATACTATTTTTGTCACACAACCTATATAATTTGTGTAAAGATTACATACACAAGGCAGCATAATTAAGATTGCATGAGATTGTAAATATGTCATCTTTTGGGTTTGAGCTTAAAACTTTTCTAGCTGAATTTATATCTACTACCTACAAACAATTTCTAACTGTGCATTCCGTGGTTTTATCCCAAAAAGACAGGGACTCTAACAGATGCTGATTGAGCAGCTTCCTGACTTCAAAAATGAAATATCATCAGTATATGAAAGGGTTTACTTTATTTGGTTCCCTGCAAGAGTAGAGGACTGGGCTTGGTGAAGAAGAAAGGTCACTCCTGTTTCTGTGTTCCTAACAGATCATAATTTAGCTGAAGATTAATGTCAATGCTAACAGGTTTATTTATGGGTAACTACTTACTGGCCTTTTACTTTTCTGTTCCTTCTGCAGCCATTGATGGAAACCAGCCAGACATCTCTGGGTTAGTTCATGGGTGAATTCTCTCTAGCAACATCATTTACATTTGGTAAATGCAGTTTAATTTGAGAGCCTTGTTTATAGTCTGTCATTTACTACTTGTGGTATTCGCAATCTATTTAATAGTGGGCACTAAAGAAGTACTTGAGCACACCAGATTGAGGGTGTTTGGGGAATACACATTTAGGGTGTGTTTCTGGACAGGCAGTGCCAGGGAGTGATGCTGCTGTTTTCCTGATTGGCAAAGGTGCAGGAGCTTGCCTGCATGGGCTGCATGGGCTGGGAGCTTTCCCAGCAGCCTGTTCATCACCTCAATTTGCTCAACAGGCCTGAATTGCCCCGTTGCTGCACAGATCTGTAGATATGCTTGGGTGGCAATGCAGAACCTGTTACGGTGTTAACTGTTCAGAAGTTTAAAACTACCTTTAGATGAGGCAAAATCTGCAGCAATCACATATAAAAGGAGTCCTGGAACATGCAATCCATGAGATCTAACAGCCTTTGTTGGTGGTTTTGCCTGGAGCACAGCTCTTCAGTTGATATTAGGCCTGAAATCTTCTTCTTATAAAATAGAGGGTCTTCTCTAGACTAAAAATCCTTGACTGAAAGGAGCAGCAAGGAACTCGTGTCTGTGCTGTGAGGATTACACAGCTTTCTGTCATACACATTGACTTCCAGATGTAACAACTTTTATTATCATTGTAATATATTATACCTAATGTAATATATTATACCATTATTATACCTTCATGACTACACCCAATATTCCTAGTGGCATCAGTTAAACTTCTAGCTGTCAACCAGCATCTCATTGGTCATGGTGTAAGTAAATGTCTCCTTCTTCGCTTCCTTACTTTCCATTTCTGTCACTTAAGATCAGTTCAAAACCCAGATGCAAACACAGTCTCTGTTTTCACAATGTTATGATCTCTGTTTCCACAACCCCCTTCTTGTGAGCTGGACGCCCTGCCCCAACCCTCCACCAAGTCTTGCCTGGATGTGTCCTGCTCCTTCCTCCAGTCCCACTGGGGGGATGTGGCAGCCTCTCCTCAGGGCTGCAGACCAGTCCCTCACACCTGGCTGCCAACACACAACCTGCACTCCTGAAATCCTGGGCCTTGCCAAACCCACACAGCCCCCAGCCTCTGCTGTTCCTTGTCCTCCAGCGCCTCTGTGCACACAGGAACACTGCTGGCATCTCTTACTCGCCAGCCTCTTGCAGGCTGCCTCCAAAGGTCTGGGACATTCCAACTGCAGCTGCACCTCCTCTCCCACAAAATCCCTCCTGGAAATGTAGCAAGCATGAATCCAGCTTAGTCTACTGCCTCCTTCACCCAGCACTGCGGAAAGCAAAGTACAGGTATCATGACTGCTGAACTGCAGCATCCACTTTCTGTTTAATCCTCACAACATCCTCTCTAATCAAGAGCACTTCTTTAAAGTTTTGGTAGTGAGACCACTCTTCTTCATATTTTGCAGGAATAGGAATGTTAAATGCTCAATAAGTGAACTAAAAATAAGAGAATAGGCTTATATTCTGCCTTATATGCAGGAGAATTTCTGTTTAGTTCCTTGAGTATGTTCAATTGGCTGTGCCTGAATGCTCCTACAGACTTATCTCCTTCTCCTGCAAGAGACACATAAGGGAAGAAGTACTTAAAAACAGTAAGAGGAACAAGTTCTTTTTAAAGCAATACTCAGAACATAAATTATCACTTATCGATATGAACAATCTGTCATTGTTCAATAGCACTAACAATGTGGTGTTTTTCAAATGTCATGTTCAATAAGAATACTGTGTTCAAAATAAGAATACTGGCTTAATTTTTCATTTCTTTTCTCAGTCAAACAACTTTGGCCCAAATTCTGTAAAACACCCAAGATTGAGTTCATCACTGCAGGCTCAGCCACAGCCTTTTAAAGAGTATCCTTCACAGCCAGAGTGAAAAGGCTACTAAATGGGTCAGGATTACCCACTGGTAAACAAAACGAAGCATTTCGAGTTTACTTTAGAATTTAAATAAAGAAGAAATTTCAAAGCAGCATTACTATTTCTCAAGCTTTGGCGGAGCTGCAGACGATCGCACCGCCGGTAACACTGAGTTCATTCATGCCCGGGACAAACCCCCGCACTGTGCCACCTGAGGACGGCAGCGGGGCGTCGCGGG